TGACTCTGCATTATCTTATGCCACCTAAAAGAAGAGCTGAGGAAAGATTTCACCCCAGACTTCTCCAGGCAAAGATTGCACACTATATCCCAGTGGAAACAGCCTGCAGTGGGAATAGATAGCTTATTTGACAAGGAAACCAATCCCCTCGAGGCTTCCCTTCTACCCCAAACACCATCCATTTGGATTACCTCCAGGAGTGCACTGATTCATTTTGTAGCATTAAGTACAAGTAATCTTTTTTTACATCTCGTGTATCGCTAACCCTCTGGTCCTGAAAAAGAAATGGAAATTTGTGAAAAGTCTAAAGACTTTGTGGTGATATAAAGTGTTTCAAGGCAGAGCAAAGACAGCACAGGAGCAGGCAGATAGGCGTATATTGGCCTGTTTTGGCTTCAGATCAGCAGAAGGTCACCTCGTGCTGCTTCCCGTCGCTGCATTGCCTTGGAGTAGATAAACTCCCTGCCAGCTTGTGAGTTCTGGGTTCCTCTGGCCATCTGTCCCACTGCTGACAATGCAGCGCTTGGTGTAACAGGCTGTGTTATCTACGTACAGTATGCTCTCTGAAGACCCTTATCGTGAATATGCTGCCTCGGGTGACGCCCAGAAATACAGTGTGTAGGATCAGCGACAAGGCTTCTGAGTGCATGCGAATGATAGATATTTTCATGATGCTGAAAACAAAACAAGACTTGACTGTGATTGGTTGTTTGCATGATAGCTAAGAGTTAAAAGGGAGAATGAACAAATGCTACTGTTAATTAACAAAAATCCATTTAGAAAAATCAGTTATTGCAGATTCATCTTTTGAGGGTTAACTATATATAAAGAGATATCATAACCGATCTATGTTTTGTGTTTGCCTTTAGGGGTCGGGACCTGAAGAAGCAGCATGAGCAGCGGGTCTATGAGCGTGAGATGCAGAGGATCACCCTGCCCCTGTCGGCTTTCTCCAATCCCACCTGTGAGCTTGTAGATGAAAACACCATTGTTATCACAGCAGAGCATGAGACCACTCCCGTGCAGGACGACGCGGATGGCGGAGACCCTCTCATGGCCCAGCAAGCCGGTACCCCTGGAGCATGAGCGGGCATCTAGTTCCTGATGATTTTTCTTTTCTTTTATGGACCAAAGCACTCCCATCTCCCTGTTTCTCCTTTCCACCTCCCTGAGTAATGTCTATTTTAAAGGAGCAGGGGGCAGTGTTGTCTCCGGAGACCTGAACTGAATGAAGCTTTGTCCTTTCTGTATTTGTTCTTAACACGTGAGGCACAAACAAGATAAGTTCACACACAGTGGACACAGCCTTAACAACTAGAAACCCATTACAGTGGATCTGTTGTTAATGAGCACGTCTGGAGGTCTTTAATGTTCATATCTGATACTTTTGATAGCCAAGAGAATAAGGCCTATTCTCTTAAATAACAATAAGAATATCAAGTCAGTGTTTATAATAATACGTAATGACACCAGTGTGTAAAGAGGTGTTGTTTGGAACGGGGAAAATGTTCATAACCTTTTGCTTTTCAAGGGAGGTTTGATTATGTGATGGATATCTGGTTTATTTTGATTTGTAGTGACCTGCTGGCTGTGCTGGCGGGGAGGCACAGACAAGAAACCTGTGCGCACAAAGACCGCTTTTTCTTGCGTGCACACTTGTGATACAGATGTGGTCCAAAAATAGTCTCCCTCTTGAGACAGGATGAGGGAGTGTGAGGTAAGACAGGCCCACTAAAGACAAGGGAAGGCCTATAACTCAAAAAACTGCCTTAGCATGATACTTCTGAATGTATTTCCTTTATAGTGTTCCTGGAGATTTGTTTTTCGTGTTCAGCCGACGGGTAAATTTGATTTGAAAACATCGATGGTGGTCCCGGGAAGATGTGAAAAAGAAGACTTGCTATTTTTTTTTCACAGGTTAAGGAGTGACAGGAAATTTTCCAGAGTCTTCTAAGATAAGATAACCTTTATTAGTCCCACACGTGGGAAATTTGTTAAATTTGTTCTCAGGATGAACGAGAGACAGTAGTTAGATAAAATAGCACTGCCGCAACACAGACCAGACGCGTTTAGAAAAAAAACAACATAAAAATCTGTATTTGCAGTCCAGGGCAGTGTAGCTGAAGAGGTCTAGATTAGATTGACACATTTGAGTTGTGCACTGCGATGCTTTAGAGTTGACACAGGAATGGAGTAGATAGTAGAAACAGTCCAAAGTTTAGATGTTCACATAAAAACACTCGAGAACATGATTGCATGTGTATGGTTGCCTGTTGTACGTGTCCCCTTCTGAGGCTTTTATTGTGTCTTAAAAAAACAGGACTAAAATCACTGCTTGAGAATAATTAAAAACGTTAGACATCATCAAGATTTTGCAATGGTAGTTTTCACTGCGTTACTATGTTGTTTGTTATGATCCAATCACTCCAGAGCATCTTGTTTTGTGATTATTGCTGGATCCGTATCACTGGTAATGTTTAGTTACTGCTGCTCCGTTATTTTAAGTGTCTGTGCGCTGGCTGCGATCATTGTTTATAGTAGCAGTGTGTTTAAAATACTTTTGTTCAGCGTTTGGATTTAGAACTTGTATTTTTATGAATGCAGATTTTCACTACCGAGACTGAAATAAATAAAAAAGCTAAAAGTACAACTTATAAGGTGTGTTGGACTCACTATGTTCTTTCTTACATTTATTGCAATAAAGAAAACAATACAATAGAGCTGATTTGTTCAAAGGAAGGACGTTTTTATGCACTGGCTCCCCCTGCTGGCAGTTCTTAAACACAACACTGAGGCTTAGGTTTAGCTGACTGCTGATAGGACAAAATCAGTTAAACATCAGAAAACTTAAACTTTTGTGGATCCATTCCACCTGCTGTGGTACAAATGAAAAGGGACAACACGTGCACTGAAAGGGAACAATCTTGCAGGTGGTAACGGAATCTAAATCCTTTACGCGAGGAGCACAACAGGAGTCTTACAAAATGACCTCCAGCTGGCTGATGATGTGCATGTTTCTGACCAAACTGTCAGAAACAGACTCCATGAGGACCTGGTGTTCTTTAGTGGGACCTGTACTCACAGGTCAGCACCATGCACGTGGATTGGCAACTGTCATACAGGGAGTGCAGAATTATT